TAGTTCGTTATCTTGCAATGAATGGAGCAGACGTAAATGCTTGCACCAATAATAAAACTGCTTTGCTCTTGGCAACTAAAGGGGCACATTTGAACGTAATGGGTTTCTTACTGGAACAGGGCGCGGATATTAATGGCAACAATGTTGAACGAGGCATGAGTCCGTTACAAGTTGCAATTGAGAATTACGACTTACAGACAGTGAAGTTCTTAATTGAAAGAGGAGCGGATATTAATGACAGCAATTTTGAACGAGGCATAAGTCCGTTACGACTTGCAATTGAGAAAAACGACTTACAGAGAGTGAAGTTCTTAATTGAAAGTGGCGCTGATATTAATGTTCGCAGCTTCAAAAATGAAACTGCTATTCACTTCGCTGCTCAAGCTGATAATGTAGACCTTATGACGTTATTAGTAGATAAAGGAATGTCTGTCAACGAAACGTGTACTCGCGGCGAAACTCCGCTACACGAAGCAGCTCGCCATGGTAATCTGAGAGCAACAGATTTTCTAGTCGAAAGAGGCGCTGATATTAATGTTCGCAGCTTCAAAAATGAAACTGCTCTTCACTTCGCTGCTAAAGCTGATAATGTAGATATTATGACGTTATTAGTAGATAAAGGAATGTCTGTCAACGAGACGAGTACACGCGGCAAAACTCCGCTACAGAAAGCAGCTCGCCATGGTAATCTGAGAGCAACAGAATTTCTTTGGAGCTGATATTAATATTCACAGCTTCAAAAATGAAACTGCCCTTCACTTCACTGCTCAAGCTGATAATGTAGACCTTATGACGTTATTAGTAGATAAAGGAATGTCTGTCAACGAAACGTGTACTCGCGGCGAAACTCCGCTACACGAAGCAGCTCGCCATGGTAATCTGAGAGCAACAGATTTTCTAGTCGAAAGAGGCGCTGATATTAATGTTCACAGCTTAAAAAATGAAACTGCTCTTCACTTCGCTGCTAAAGCTGATAATGTGAACCTTATGACGTTATTAGTAGATAAAGGATTGTCTGTCAACGAAACGAGTACACGCAGCAAAACTCCGCTACACAAAGCAGTTCGCTATGGTAATGTGTGTGCAATAGAATTTCTAGTCAAAGGAGGCGCTGATTTAGAGATAGCTAACAATATTGGCCGGACTCCGCTGATGGTGGCTGCATATGATGGCTATCCAGAAATAGTTCGTTATCTTGCAATGAATGGAGCAGACGTAAATTCTTGCACCAATGATGTAATTGCTTTGCACTTGGCAACTATAGCGGAACATTTGGACGTGATGTGTATCTTACTGGATCATGGTGCGGATATTAATGGTAGCAATGTTGAACGAGGCGCGAGTCCGATACAAGTTGCAATTAAGCATAACGACTTACAGACAGTGAAGTAAAATGTATAAAATGTTTAAATTTGTATCTGAGGAGCTGATGTCAATTTCTGTAGTCGTGATGGCAGCAGATCGCCACCTTTACATCTCGCAGTGATTTGTGGTAACTTGGATGCTATGAACTGCTTAATAGAGGCAGGTGCTAATATGAACGTGCGCGATCGGAAAGGCTGCACTCCACTACATCACGCACTTTCTTACAAACAAACTGAATTCGCAATGCATTTGGTGGAGAATGGTGCAGATGTAAATATTCCGGATGCTCGCGGAACATCACCTTTACAACTTTCTGTGATTAAGGACAACGTAAAATTTGCAAAACTCTTTTTGAAGTTTAATCCTAACGTCAATTACCAAGGGCCCAAAAAATTGCCTGCGCTCTCAATGGCCATCAGACGGGGGAGGATGGTCAGACAGGGAAGGATGGACATAATTAATGTTTTAGTGGAAAATGGCGCCAAAATTAATCTTTGTGAATACAATGGAAATACTACACTTCATATCGCGGTTATGAGAGGGGATACGGGTCTTATTCACTATTTGATACACCGAGGGGCAGATGTTAATATTCCAAATATCAGATTGGAAACTCCACTAGATTGGATTTAATTACGTCATTGGGATATTCCAGCTTCGTATAATAGCATAATTACAAAAACACTGTTGTTAGTCACAGGTTTTGATACCAGCATACCAGATGGAGTCCTTAAGTGGACTCAGATGAGGTACGCTGCAACGAGATCATGGGTGGCTGTGGACAGCTTGTTACAGAGTGGTGCTGATGATATTGTGCTTGCAGAATTTTACCAGGACAAGGAGTAGAGACAGGCAGCATTGTGGGAATGTGCACAGAAGGGACACAGAAACTTGTTGGAGTTATTAATGAATTCCGGAATTGATGTTAATGCCATTGTATCGGATCCTCAAAATAATCACTGAAATTACCTCTTCTTCATTAGGCACACAGTACAGCCAAGAGGAAGTTGTAAGACTTCTTATTGAAAGTGGCGCTGATATTAATGTTCGCACCTTCTTTAATGAAACTGCTCTTCACTTTTCGCTGCTGAAGCTGAAAATGTAGGCATTATGACGTTAGTAGATAAAGGAATGTCTGTCAACGAAACGAGTACACACGGAACTCCGCTACACAAAGCAGCTCGCCATGGTAATCTGAGAGCAACAAAATTTCTAGTCGATAGAGGCGCTGATTTAGAGATATCTAACGCAATTGGTCGGACTCCGCTGATGGAGGCTGCATCCGGTGGCCATCTTGAAGTAGTTCGTTATCGCAATGAAGGGAGCAGACGTATGCTTGCAACAATGATGTAACCGCTTTGTACTTGGCTATTGAAATGGCACATTTGAACGTGATGTGTATCTTAGTGGAACAGGGTGCGGTTTATTAATGGCAGCAATGTTGATTCAATGGGAAAATCCAGCCGACCACTTAGAACGTCATAAGCGTATGTCAATACCTGATTTACCATTGCTTGTGGACCTGTTTACAACTGAAGCGTTTTGATCAGAAATAGTTCTTCTGATGCAGCCCCCACTGCGAGAAAAACGCAAAAGACTATATACGTATAAAACATGTTCTTGATTACACTGCTGATAGCAAACTAATTATGCCTCTTTTATATCTAAAGGATAACGGCTTTAAGAAGGTATCATATACAAATACATAAATATTATTTATTTTTACCATGTATTATTAGCATGTAAGGAGCCAGAATGGCGTATTGTAACAAGTTGTTTTGTTTTATTATAAGTCTATTATAACGTAAAGCATAATTCTGTAAGTTCCTGGGCCGATATTACAGTTCGTTAAAAACTTCAGAGATGCTGATTTGCTTCATACAACTAATAAGCAATGCTAGTAATAGAACATCAACATTACAGGTCCTCCGCAAAGCACTTTCACAGTTTGCTGGATCTTTGTTCATATCATTGCTAAAGTATTCTTTATATTCTGCAGGAACGACATCACTTATCATCCCAGAATCAGTGGTTCTAGCAACTTTTACGTAAAATGTCACAATTAACCAATGACACACTATTGAAGCTAGGAAATTAATCTGTTTTTTACAAGTGGGATATTACTATACCACTGATATCAAATTCTTATTATTCTACAAAAACATACCTTCTGATACTTGGGTATTCATGATGATGATGTTAGTGATATATGGAATCATTATTGTCTAAGAGTAAATATTGTCCTTTACTTACAAATAATACGCTAAATCAAATGCTTATAATAACTGAAAAACAAAATATGACCAAATAAAATAAAAATGGACTACCCCCAGCAGTCCTTGATTTCCAAGGTACTTCAAATTAAAGGAATTGTTACAAAATTCAATTACACTATCTCTAGATTTTAATAACCTAAACTCTCTAAACATCTTTTGTATTATAACATTTAAAACACTTGATTGTCAGATGTTTATATATTTTCTGCTCTATTGTCTGGTGGTTTTAGTACAAATTGATTCAACGGCTTACCTTCACTTTAAATTACAGTAATTACCTCTTCCTAAGAGTAAGAATAATGGCTTTCGAAGTTTCGAACATTCAGAATATCAACTGAAAAAAATATAATTTTATTATGATAGAGAAGTTATTTTGCCTGAGAAATAAATAGTTTTGCGAACTAAACACAACGGGTACATTTTTGGAGCAGTAAATATAAAATAATTTTATGGTGTTATTTTGTTACATAAATTTTAGTGGATTCTTCCAAACGACACACTGTTCAATTTTATAAATGCATCAAGCCCTGTGTACCACTTGAAGATGGCCCTTCAAAGTTCCGAATCATATGGCTTGGTTATCTGTCTTTTTGTATTTCTTTAACGTTTTACATTTATATTAGTGACGGGGCAACCACTGTGTTTCATACAGCTTAAACATAAGGAAACCGAAAATTTTACAATTCCGCGCACCAGCCTCTTACACCTGTCTGGAGATTTCAGTTTGTTAAAATATTTTGCATCGTACTGTCAAATTAAACGGAACGTTTCTAAATTGAATAATCTGAAAATGTATGGTTCATTTGTTGACTTCGAGTTTATAATTTACACTAATGCCAGGCTGAATAACAGACGTGTACATGGAGACGACAGTGGTCCATTAAAAATATTGAGATCAGAGCCAAATAACGGGAAATATGTAACTTTCAATGAGAGAAATGATGAAGATATTTTCCACTTCTTTAAAAAACTGAAACAGTATTATAGATTACCTCCGGAACTAAAATATCTGGAGACATGTGATTTTTCATTATACGAAGAATTTTTGCAGAAAGTGAAAATATTTCAATGCCAGGCAAATGAAAGTTCCTTCGAGAAATTAATTAAGAAAAAGCTTCGGATAGCTTTTCATACATCACCTTCAGGCACAGATTCCATCTACGAAAAGCTCGAAAGATATGTGACTCAGTGGTGGAAACAAAACCACCAAGCAAATTCGCTCAGTGAAAGTTCGCGTTTCTGGCAAAAATCAGACAGCGTTGGATTCATAAGATAAAGGAATTATCGAAAATAGACGTTCAAGAATCCATTGAATATGGTATAAGTTACACTGAACAACATATGCAACCACTGTCTGAAGCCTTGCAACGCAACAAATTATTAAAAGTCATTACCAAAAAAAATTGTGGCACTTTATCCAAATTGAAAATATATCAGGCTCTCAATTCTTTAGGCCAAGAAAATTCATTATTTATTAGTTTAAAAACTTGAATGGATCCATGTGTAGAGATTCTTGAATTCTGGCCATGAAAGTGGAGTTCTGTCTTGGTCATTCACTGTAAGGAAGGCTCTGATGATGATGAAAAAATTTTGGCCGAAATTTTTACTGTCATATTGGATCTTTCTCTCAAAAAGTGTGTTGTAATTTCACGACATAAACACCCACATTTGGCTTTTCAATTTCAACGGAAACCAGTAAAAGTGTACGCGGAATACGAAGATGAATGCAATTTCTTTGACTTGGATAATATATCACAGGAAATTGTATTGAAAAGAACTGTTGATTTATAAGGAATGGAGGTCCCTTTAGAGGCACTGATAGATAAAGACCCTCTTGAAGATATAAAGCAGAGTATAAACTTACAAGTATTGTGTTTATTGTTGGGCAGGGAACAGAATATGTCTATTGGTAGAATGTTGTCTGATCCTTCAAGTTGCTGGTTGGTGATATTCTGAAGTCAGCAGACACCACTGATGTGTTTGCAATTACTGGGTTAGAGCCGAGCCAACTGAAAAAATACCTACCTGTCGGCAAGAATATATATAAATTTAAGATTGATGACACTTCCAACAAGCCTATAGCACATCATAATGTTTATCGATCAGTGAACCCAGAGGAAGTTAGACACGTTATTTAACTGACCATCCTCCCCCGTCTGATGGCCATTGAGAGCGAGGTCAATTTTTTGGGCCCTTGGTAATTGACATTAGGATTAAACTTCACAAGGTGCTTTACACATTTTACGTTGTTCTTAATCACAGAAAGTTGTAAAGGTGATCTTCCGCCAGAATCCG